GAGAGAAGCATTGATTTCAGGGAATCTAGTACTCACTGTGTGTCTCTACGATCCTTCCTCATTAGAAATTAAACATACACACCAAGTCAATTATCAATTAAGTGACAACTTGAGTAAACGCTGGAGGTATTATTGACCTTTCACACATTCTTTGAAGCTCACTCAGCTTCATCATTTTCTCTGAAGTTTTGTTTTGGTTTCAACAAGTCACTGATTAAATTGATTTAATCGTGGAATTTTGCCACATTAATGGGAAAAAAAATTAAATGGTTATAAAACCTTATTTTGTCCCCTCAACTATGCTCTTGCCTAGTCTAGGTAGGCAGAGGGGCAGAGTTATGCTGGTTTGGGAAAAATAGAACTTAAGCCTTAAGAAATTGTAAAGTGACAGACTTTCTTTCGCTATGAGAAGGCAGGTCTAATCCAAGTCAGCCAAGAAGCATCCTTGCGTTATCATCACTCAAGTTTTCCAGGGAGGGAGACTGTACAACCTGTTTGTTCCACTCGTGTCCTGCAGTGTTCTGCCATCCACGCTGTACGTCCCTCCAAGCAGTATGCTAATTTAATCGGCATTAATTGGGCAGTGGGGGATTTCCATGTGGAGGCATGTAGCTGAACAAGTGTGCAAGGGCTGCAGACACATGCTACCGCGATGGCAGGGACGTGTTCCGTGGAACAGACTTGAAAGAGGATGGCACCGCCAGGGCTGAGGGATGCAGAGACAGCTGGGCCAGGCTGTGAGTGGCCCGGAAGGGTGCTGAGGCTCTGGGCTCTGTCTTGCCAGACTGAGTCATGGAGTAAAGACATCCATGCACTAAAGTGTGTTTTAGGATGCATTTTAAATGCATTTATTTTTCTTTGTTTCCTTTCCTTTAGAGGCTTCACTCCCTCCCTGTCTCAGAGGCGGATGGGCAAATGATTCTGGTTATATAGACGCATATTTTACTAGACAGGCACTTTAAGCAACTAAACCACAGTACCCTCCAAGATGCATATTTTAAAGAGTAAATTCTCCCTCTGTTGTTTCCTGCCTAAGACCACATAACCCTAATCCCTTTAACCATCATGTCTTAATTTAGAAACCACAGTAGGTTAACGCTGAAATCTAATCAATTTTCCTTCTTCTTGATATTTTTAGTTAGGAGTTATAGGCTACACCATCAAATCACTTCAGGTAAAAAAAAAAAATAAGATACTCGCGGCTGCCTTTACTGCTCCACATTTTCTCTTTAATTGCAAGAAAAATCATAACTGCTAGACCATGCTGCAAAGAGAACTACACGTGGCAACTCTCTGGTAAAGTAGGGTATGGACAGGGAACAGACCTGCATGAAATTAGAATCTGATTAGTAAAGATAAAAAAAAAAAAATCAGTACCATCTGACAGACACACGGTCGATGGGGTTTACATCACGCCACGTTTAACGCATGGATGATCCTGGCACATGACATCATTGGCCGCATTTAGACTGCCTCAACCGTCACCATGGCAACGCTGACATAAAACGTAGCTGAGTAGGTAATTTCACTCCAAATTAAATAAAAATAAGGCTAATCCTGTTATTGTTCTTAAAAATTTTCCAAGTAGCTTTTTCTTAGAGTGTCCTTGCTTGTATGTTCTGCTTTTTAAAAAACAGATTATTGGAAAATCATGTGTGTGTGCACTCTGCACTCACAGCCACTGACGCTGTCCCTGTGTCTTAGTGGTGTGACTTTGTGTTTGAGAAGAGTCACATCCACCCACAGTGCTCCTTGGTGTGTTTTGTGCAATTAAAGAATGAGTAAATCTTTTAAATATACCAATTTGGGCCATTAAACATTTCAGAGACTGCCATTCTAAAATTATGGTAAAATAATAGTGTTTTTAAGATAAGCCATATTATGCGTTGTATAAATCTTAAAAGGGTACTTCAGATGATTCCATTTTCTATTTTAAATGTGCTCACGTAGGTTTCCATAGTTATTTAGGAAAGTCATCTTTTCCCTTTCAGCCTCCACGGAGGAGTAACTGAAAGCCGAGAGTTCCATTTGGAAGTAGTAGTACGGCCACGACAAGATCTTTCTTTCGGCTATCAGGATACACACCAAATGCCACACACAACAAAACGCTGTCTCCTCTGACAGTGTAGGGCAAATTGCGTGTAGGGCAAATTGCTTTTCAGTCGGCACATCTCTCCTGTGAAAGCTACCTGCTCGAGGCTTTGTGATCCAACCTGCAGCTCTGAAACAGAGAAAGGCACTGTCCCAACAGGGCTTTAGGGCTCAGCTCCACACTGGACTGTCAGGGGACCGTACAGACTGAGAAGAAAAGGCTGGAGCCACAGCCCTTGACCCTCATCCCAGCTCTGCCACATGCACCATTGGCTTTGCCATTTCCTATCCACCGTGCAGCTCAGCTTGTTCATCTACGATAACAGAGGCAGGAGTCATCGCAGACAGCGATAACCACGACCTCACAGGGTGTCTGCACCAAGCACACAGGTCAATGTATAATAAATCACGCTAAGAATACAAGCATGAATGCAACCCTGCACCCGTCTAATAATGGCTATTCGAGGAGAACATGATAAATCAACTGGCAACAGAGTTTATTAGACCCGAAGGATGACAGGGTCAAAGTCCCCACTGAGAACTTTCCCACCATCTCCCTTGGCAAATAACTAGAGGGATTCCAGGGAGCTGGGAAAAGTCTCCCAGTCTGAACCAGTCACCAAGAAGACAGGGCAATCCCTGGCTAGCTGTGCTGCCTGTGACAATGACAACTGTTGCTATTGAGCCCACCACCGTCCCACTCAGCATCCGCACAAGACACACTTGGTAGCACACTCATGACATCATCCTCGTGCACCTTTTTGTGTTTACCATGAAAGTAGCTGGGGGATATTTGTCAGGAGAAGGTACAGACAGAGGTTAGGTAGAGATGTGAAGAAGATATGAGAGAACTCTACAGGGTAAGAAAAGAAGAAATGGACAAAACTATGTCAAACACCTGGGGATCTAAGTCCTGATTCTTAGATGGGATCTAAGTCCTGATTCCATCTTTAATAAAAATAAATGGAATGAAGAAGCCATTGCCTACTCAGCAGTAAACCACGATGTGTGTCTGAGCCATTCTTGTCCTCCCGCAGGGTCATGTTTCATCCGGTGGCATCTCGTGTAGCATCTCCTATTGTTATTTCAGACTCTGATACGGACTCTGCATCCTAAAGTTCCCTTTCATCCAGAGACTGAGTGTGTTTGGCAAAAGCCACCACTGATTATGGGTGCTAGAGCCTGACAAATACGCCTCACTTGTTTCCACACCTTGCCCAGTCTGACGTCTTACCATCAAGGCCGTGAGTCAATGTCCAATGTCTCTAGACTCTCTTAAAAATGCAGCCTTTAACATAAATCATATAATTTCTGAAATTCAGTCATCATATATTTTGTGTTTCAATGATTTTTCTGAAAGCCACAATAACGTCATTTTTAAAACAAGAAAGTTGTTAGATCACCTGAATCTCTCAGAACGATTGGCAGATACTAGGCCCTCGATGGATGTTTAATAAATAATAATAAACAATTTAATAAACTGCTCTGCAGGAGCCTTGCCCCGGGTCCCGAGGGTTATTCGTGGCACAGCGGGGTCCAGGCTGCCCGGCTCTCAGCTCAGTGTCTGTTTCCACCACTCTGATGTTACACAGAGTGAAACGGATGATAATTCAAACAAATTCCTGAGTTTTTAAAGTTAAGATTATATAACACAAAATGAGCAAATGGGTAAAGTGGCAAATCTAAAAGTATTGTTCAAGGTGAATAAAATTTAAAACAAAGAGCATAGAGAGTTCTTTTTTCCCCTTCTTAACTAACAGTTGACATAAATAAAACAGTACAATAAAACTCAAAGAAGGAAATGATTTACCTATGAATATGAACCCTCTGCTTTGGTACTTGGTTTGCAAAAATAAAGTAAAATTCAATTCATTTTCAGTAACTGGTTTGAAACAGGTGATCATACCTACAACGTGTTTCACATTAGGCTAAAGTCTTAGTACTGAAATGCAAACGTGAACCTGTAGGTATATTCACAATCGTTCCTTCCATATTCCCTCCTTCCTGTGCGTAAGTGGCCAACATTTCCTCTGCATCTACTTTAGTTTGAATGTACATATTGTCAAGTTTACCCATAGGTCAAGATCTGAAATAGACAACTGAAGCAGTTTTAAAGTGCTAAGAAAATAATGAAAACCAAAAAAGCCACAAAAACATTTCAACACAACAAATTGCTTAATTAGAGACAGAATTTAGGCCTTTAAATGTCTATTCTTTTAATTCTCTCTTTTCAACTGCACTTACAGACACAGACAAAGCTGCTCTTACAATCAATACCACCAAACCTACATTGATTAGACCCTGTTTCCTACTGTCTCCGCTACGGTACACACCAGAGAACGCCCATCCCTTGGTCGATTTTATACATATGTTAGATTAGGATTTATGCTGACTCAGTTTGCCTTTGATGCTCCTGTAGCCACAGGCACATCCTCAGAGGTAGTTACGTGATTTGGTGCACAGTCTCCACGGAAGAAAAGATATACATAGTCACATACCTGCAGCGGAGTTTGCCAATGCTTGGTAACATGAAATAAAAGAAAATACACAGTCTAAAAAATACCTGTTCACAGCAAAATAGCTCCAGGCCAAACCCAAAACTAACTTGCCTCACTTAGTTGCCAACGTCTGTATTGCCTTCAAAGAGTGCGAAACGAGGACACGGTAAGTTCAAAGTACACGAATACCCTCTCCCTCTCCAAATACCATCACGAGGACATCCCAGAAACTTTGAAATTAGTCACACAGTAAAGATCACTTTTTAGCAGCCAAAATAGCAAGACAAAAAAGGGACACCGTGCTGCCAAGGAAGATCCAGTGAAAGAAACTTATAAAGCCCGTCGGAGGAAATACAGTAAATAAACAACTGCACCAGCATCCAGTGATGACATCTCTTCCCCAGGACTTACCATATGGATGGTGCTTCTGTCCCGCTGATCTCTAAGAAATCGTATCCTTCTTCCAGCTGGAAGTCTGTGAAGACCAAAGCGATGGTGTCCCCTGGCTCCGCGAGAATGGTCCACGTGCAGTCAGCGTTGTTTTCGTACTCGGAAGGGAAGTGGGGGCTGGAGATGGAGCTGCCGGTCCCACGTAAGGTCCCTCCACAGGCCCCTTCAGCTGGTGGGACAGGAGCAGAAGGAAAATATCACTTATTAGGGTGGTTTTCGTACACGAATATGTCCACAAAATGTCACTCTCGATCAACGCCACATATTTTCCGAACCCAAAATTCAGACGATCTAAAAAAGGAGCTCTACTGATATTTTAATTTAGTTCTATGAAAAGGCTTACAAAGCCTAACAGTTAAATCATATTATTAATTGGATGGCCATTGTGGGAGAAAGTCAAGTTGTAGCTTTTCTAAAATGTTTCCTGCAGAGCATATTGGGGCAGAAAAAAAAAAAAAAAAAAAAAAAAGGAAGGAAATGGGGAATGTGCAGTTGCTCTATACCTGATGTTCAGAGTCAGCTTAACGCTATTTCATAGATTTTACTCTGACTCTTGGAAGACGAAGCTATGTAGGAAACATTTAGAGACTTAAAAATATGTAGTCGTATTCTATTAATCCATTGATACTCGGCTTTGAAAACACTGCTCTTAAAAGAAGTAGCTGTCCTAATCATATTTTCTATAGAATTTAGATTATTAATTAGGGTTTTGAATTTCACATAAGTTCTTGCTAAGTTCTTGACCAATGTCATAACGGAGACGCACTGATTCCTAAAAAGGTTCTGAGTGGAAAATATTTACATGGGATATCTTAGAAAAATGAGAAGTGAAAGTCTAGTAAAGTTAAAATACATTTAAGACATAAATTAACATGATCGAACCTATTGGTTTGAAGAGAAATAGATCTTGTAAAGTTTGTCATAGAGTAAAAAACAGATTTATTGTTAAATTCAATCATCTGTTACAAAATGTTGTGTAAACTGTATACATAGGAGAAAGAAGTATTTTAAACTGACATGTTTTAACACGTCTACAGATACCCTTCCCTTTCTTCTTCTTTTGAAATCCTTTATCAAATAATTCCTGAACGTACACATTTCACAATTAGTGGTTTTAATATTGCAGTTTGAATGATATATAAAACCATCCTGTTATCAAGATGGGGAAATTTGTCTTGGGCAGAGCTTGGGTGACTACCTCTGAGCTCTAAGTACGTAAAATCAACCCACCCCAACTTCTCACCAAAATTATGGCAAAGTGGGAGGAACTGACGTCCTCCCATTAACTCTGCTCACGTTGCAAGTTCCACTGTTTTTCCGTCTTTGAGGAATGGTCTGTTTATTTGACAGGATCTGAGCATCAAGAAAACTTTGAAGTGGTCCCCAGCATGTCAGAAACAATTAGAAGGTGATAGAAATCCCTTGGAGTAGGCAGCCTTCTGTTTGCCCAGAAGTGCATGGGTTGGGTTGAGAACATAGTTTCTCATTCCCAAGATTTAGAATACCACATTTTCCACCCTTCCCATCGGATGCTCACCTAGGCTGCATGCTAGGTGCTCTAGTGCTGACTTGTCAGGTGATTTTCATTGCACCTTTGGAGTGGGTCTGTTCATATACACTTAGAAGGGAACACAAAGCCTTATGAATTGCTACCTTTGAATATCAAAGAAATCAAGAGTACAGGAAGGATTTGTGCTCCTTGTCTTAATGGTTTGCCAGATTGGCATGTTGGTCCGAAGCACATGACATCTCAGACAGGGCTGCTGAGAGTTTGAAGAAAGTCTCAAGAAACTCCCATTTTTTGATGGCTCACATTTATTTGAAAACTTAATAAATATTGGATGTGGAAATTATACTAAATTGGTAATTTTTAAAAAAGAGTAAAATATAACTTGAAACAAGTATAAATGTGTATATAAGGCAATTTGAAAATTATGAAAATAGTTTATGTGGCCAGTACCAATTTCCTCCCCCCACTGCCAAGCAACCCATGTGCACATGAGTACATGCAAACACACGCTCCCTGGTCAGCCCAAGGCCTGGTCCACAACTGCCCTGCCCTGGACAGTTTTATTGTACTGCTGGGAATAGATATTAGGAACATGGTTATAATGTATAGAGAGATACATACATGGATACATACAAGTATGGAGATATATATGGATATATATGTGTGTATGTATAGATGTATGTGCATATATACATACACATATATCTTTGTTAAAATTATATTTTAAAAAGTAGGGATAAAAATACAGTACCATATAAAAAAAGCAGCACATATTCCAACCACCAGGGACAATATGTTGGCCATTACTTATATTCAGACTTTGTGCAGAATCAGGCTGGGAGCCCCTTGCTTTGGGACACTGGTGAATAAGTTTGACAACTAAAAGGGAGGCATAATGTACTCTGTTACTCTTGAAACTTAAATATAAACATTTTCTTCACAGGGAGATGAGGTAGAGATCACTTGAGATATTTACATGCACCAGTGATTAAATAACTGCACATGTCAACAGATTACACATTTACATATATAAATACCTACAAAGTAATATGGATTTTTATGCATTAATCTATCATATATGTCTATGATCATTAAAATACAATATAATTTTAATTACTATTAAGATTCTATTCTTTTCTGACTACATTATGTGCTATAAAAGTCATCTCAATGTAAGAACAGAAGCAAAAGAGTTGTGGTATTTTTATTATATAAAAAGATAAAATGTCATAGGTTTGTGGACTTAAAAGTCATCAAAATCCAATGCTGTGGTTGGATGAATAACGAAACGTATTAATTCAAATCCAACTGCTGAGACTTCATAAATGCTTTATAAATTAACTTGCTGGCAAACAAAGTTCCCCTTCCAATATTTTGGAGGGCAAAAAATAACTGACATTAATCATTCTGAAATTTTGCCACGGCAACCTATGAGCTGAAGCATTGTTTATGATTTAACAGACTTTAAAATGGGTATATTTATGTGTGTAGTATAGTAGAAACATAGAATGTGCATGTGCAGAATAAGTTTAACTGTACTCATCTGGGAAAACATCTCAGTAGTCTTGATCAAACAGAATTGACCACTGACCCCATTTGATAAGAGGGTGTGCAGGCGGTGATCATGAACAGGGACGTCACCTGTGGCTGCAGAGCAGGCTCCTACACCCCCACCCTGCAGCCTCCAGCCTCCTGGTTGCACGACTGTTGGAAGGTCTGATGACCTACTCCAGGTGTCTAGGGAGCTTGCGTGGAACACTGGCTGCAGGCTGCGGGACGTGGTTATGTGTTACCTGGCGTACGAGTATGTCACTGTTTTAACAGCTGGCAGACTGCGCTGGCGCCCTGCGCTGGCGCCCACCAGCAGAGCATTAGCCCTGAGCAGAGGGACCTGACCTCTCAGCCACGCGTTTCTCTTCTATTTAACGTGACAGTGGTAGAGCTGGATAAGTGCCAGTGTGACTTCTGTGTCTAGTCTCTGCATCCTCTAAGAGCTCAGGCACCTAGTATCGGTGTTTTCCTAGGGCTTTACTTGATGAGTGAGCGGATCACAGACACCCACACCTCCTCTGGCCAGAGAGTGAGTTCCCTGCTCACGGATTCCAGACATGACAAAGCCCCTGAGAAGGAGAGCCACGGGGCACAGTTGCATGACCACTCTATCGGGGAAGGAGCAGGTGATAGAAGGGAGACAAAAAAGAACAGAGAATGAAAACAATGGGGCAGAAAATTCCAAAGAAGTTGGCAGAGAAGAAAGAAACCACATTTCTCCTAAGCCTGCAATCACTATTGTGTTTTCTTTGGTAGATACTTTAATGCCCATAGAACATCTTAAAATCAGTTACAGTTAGAATCAGGTCAGGTTAAATATATGCAAGATGTATCAGAATTCTTTACGAAGCACCTCTCACAAAACAGTGAAGAATACTGTTAAGATAATCTGATTGATAACTTCCTTCAGTATTAGGGATATAAGACAAACAAACAAAAATACTTCATGCCACTCATTAAAATGTTTGTGCCCCCATAATATTCTGAAATTTAAAAATAAAGAAACTACAGAAAATTATCTTTAGTATACAGTAACATGGATAAAAAAAGCATGTGTGTGTGTGTGTGTGTGTTTGAAAGCAACTGCGATGGTGGTAAAAATATTTCTCTGACAAAACTTTTTAAATCTTAATTTCTTCACTATTTTAGTTTCTAAACTGCAGGAGTTTACACAACTGCACACACAAAAGCATTTGAGGAAGGGCGACATAAACACTGTACTTGACGGGCAAACTGTTTTTAAAAATAAATTAGTTTCATTTTTACATTTATGCAGATTGATATGTTGATCAATTTTATAGATAATGCAACAGAGGAAACAGTTTTATAAGAATATTTCACCTGGGAAAATTAATTGTTTAATTTTTGAAATAATACTTATTTGTGAACTTGCCTTCCAGTCTGGCTGAGAGAAACACTAATTTGCACCCCTCTGACATGTTCCTAACGGGTAGAGGCTTTGCTGCACAGAACAGGGAGCCTTTATCCTCAACAGTCAGAGTGTCATAAGGACCCCAATTTAGTATATGACAAAATGTGAATGGCAAATCATGACAGAAGAGGCATCATTTTAAAAAGCATATTGGAATAACAGAATAGAAATTTGAAAAAAATATTAACTTAGAAACAGCCTCATAGAAGATATACCTTACATAAATTAAAATGAAATTATAAAACAATGAAAAACAGCCCAATAAAATACAATGTATTATCTAAAATATTATCTCAACTAAATAGAAATGAATGTTATTAAAGCAAACGTAACTTTACAAGTAAACTGACCTACTTATTTGATGTTTTTCAAAATAAATATATAAAACTAAATGCAAAATGAAAACAACACAAGAGAAATATTTGCAACAACATAAGATGGGGGTATTATCTATGCTTATTTGATTTGTGTTTTTAAGAAAAAGATACAAAGAGATACATGGAAAAATATTTTAAATAACAATTCAAACAAGAATGAATTCCAGAAACAACACAGGCAAAAGCTCAATCTTTCTGGTTACCACGGACATCCAAATTAAAGTGACATTGAAATTCCACCTAATATGCATTAAAAAGAAAAAGCTTGAAAATACATAAAAACCAAAACTGGTGCAATT